ATCAGAATGAACAGAAGCCCTTTCCCCTAGCAGCGTCCTTCTAAGCAGGTCTACGTTACAAGCTAAGAGGCTGTTAGAGTCAGGCGAGTTACGATCTAATGAACACTGCTGCTGTCTCCTCATTTCCCTGGGTTCTGGGGGTGTCATTCTCTTTTCTCTGAAACATTTCAGAGTGAGGATGCCAGGCCACTGACAGCACCTGTATTGAATAGAAACAATGCAGACAATCACAAAATGACAGGTAGCTATCAGCAGAGTGAAAGTGCCATAGCAGTGAATCCCGATTACACCTGAAATACCGAATCTGTGGGCTATGAGCATGTGGAGGTAACAGTTCTGTAGCTGCAGATCGCTCGGCGTCATGACACTTCTGCTCTCTAGAGCCGTTGCCTAGAACAAAGGGAATTGTAGCTCGTAGCAAACTGGTCTGCTGATCCATTTTCCTCACAGGGGACAGAGACTCCCTTGAGTAAATAACTTCCTCCTTTGTGACTCAGAGGACACAAGAGCATGTGCTGCTGAATAAGCTAAACCACAGGCCATGCCTCCAAGAAAACCACTTCCAGTGAGTTTTTACAACTTTTTTTATTTTTGTGTTTTTTGAGACAGGGTCTCATAATGCAATTCAGACTGGCTTAAACTCACTTTGTGTCTAGGCTGGTCTCGAACTTGCAACAATCCTCCTGCTTCAGCCTCCCAAGTGCTGGGATCACAGGCGTGAGCCATCAGGCGCTGGGTTTTGTCCTAATCAGCATTGAGAAGGCACTGAACTTGGCGTTTTCGTTGTTTTTCTTCCCTGCACATCTTACAGCAGTGAAGAACAGGTTCCAAGGACAGAGTGGAGGTTGTTTTGTCTTATATTTTTACCCCTGTGCGAATTCTGTCTCCACATCATATTTTTAATGGAGCATGTGCAGAAGAATGTTTCTCTGTAAATGCTCTTTGGGATTAGAAAGAACTTTGTTTCAGTTCAATTCTAGAATAGGCCAGATGTCTCCTCCAGGAACCTAGTAAATTTGGAGCCAATTTTGATCCAGATGAGTGACACATTCACACACACACAGGCGACTCTCCGTGTGCATGGGCTCCACATCAGTGGATGCAATCACCTGCAAGTCAGAACTACTTAGAAAAAAGTGGACTTACATTAAACACATACAGACTTCCCCCTTGCCATTATTCCCTAGTGATGCAGTATGGCACCTATTTTGAACGGCATTGATATTGTATTAGGAACGGTCAGTACTCCAGAGATCACCTGAAGTATATGAGAAGACCTGCTGGGTTTAGTGGTGCCTGCCTATGACCTAGCACTCGGGAGGCCAGGGCAGAAGGGCTGCTGCAGCTTCCAGGGCAGCCCATGCTACACAATGAGTTTGTGGCCAGGGTAGCAGTCAGTGCTCACTGGAGAAACATTTACCATGAGATATACAAATATAGATGAATTGACAAGATTGGCTTACAGTGGCCACCCTTGGGGTCACTTGTGGAAGCGTACAAAAGGATTGCCTGTGTGCTGGAGATCTGAAAAGCCTGGAGCTCACTGTAGCATCCATTTCAGTCCGTATGAAGAGGCTGAAGGGTCTGAGTTGGAAGCCGAGGTGAGGTTCAAGGCTGGTGCTCCTCAGAAGAGATGGAAGCGAGTCTCCCTTCTTCGTTTCCCTTTCATTCATTCAGGTGGAAGCCTATTGGTTGGTACCACTCACACCCAGCTGGATCTTCTGTCTTTAGTGGATCCCTTCAGCCACACCCAGAACACTGCTGATCCAATCTAGTTGGGTGTTTCTTACTCAAGTTGACACAGCTAACTGTCACGGCCAGCCTGGAATACATAGCAAGACCCTGTCTCAGGGAAAAGAGATGTGTTTAGATTGTGTGCAAATGTAGTACATCGTTTTGTGTACAGGATTTGAGCAGCCTGGTTTTGTGTTTAAGTCAGGGATGTCCTGTAACCAGTCCCCTTTGTATGCTGAGGGATGATTGTATAGAAGTTTGGGCATTTACTAATTGCCCAGCAGCATGAGTAGGGCAAAAGTCACATGTGACATTGCTCTTGCTGAAGAAGCACAGCCTTGCTGGATTGTGATCGTCTGCATGTCACCTTTTGCTCAGCAGTCTGCCAAAGTGGGTAACAGCGCTACCCCGCCAATACAAGCTGCAGAAGTTTAGTTTTCAACTTGGCATCTTCGTGGGGTTTTAGGTGACAGTTGTTGTACTGTTGTTTCTTTTGGGCCCCTAAGGACAGCTGTCACATATCACCTTCTGGCCCTCATTCACTTTGGGGAGGACCAGCATTCACTGGATTGCTCCTGTGTTTTGCTGCCATGGTTCTTCAGCACAGAGGACTTGCACTAGACCCCAGTGATGGGGAACCTTTCAGAGACGAGGGCCCAACCTGCAACCCCAAACTCACCTATTTATCCCACAGTGCCAATGCGGCCATTAAACCTGAATACTGAGGCTTTAAATTAGGAAAAAACCAATCTGTACAGTAGCATTTTTTGTCTTAAAAACAAATAGCATGCTTGCCACCACTGACGATGATCTGGTAACCAGACCTGCATGTAGAGAACTGGCTGCAGATTGGTTCGCCGCACTGGGTTTCCCACAAGAACAAGTATTTGCACAGGGTGTTAGGCCATGGCTGTGCTTAGAGAACAGCAAACACTCCAAACAAAACAAAAACATAGTCATGTTTAGGTGACCTCGAAGATACCTAGGCACGGGGAGGTGAATCCTTTTCCAGTAACTAAGATGCGCCGTGCTGGACAGCTCCCAGTCTCCTGGGCTCCTCTCTGGCTTCCCAGGAAGGCTGGGACGGGAGTGGGGAAATGTGTGCTCTGCACACCTACCAAGGCGTGCCTGCCAGTTCTGCGGAAACCACAGCCCGAGCATCTGTGTGTATGAAACTGCACTTTGGGCTGTGCTTGGAAAGGTGTGGGGCGCAGGCAGTCACAGGAGTCACCCCATCACTGTGGTGGGGTCAGGACAGGAGTGGGAGGCTCTGCACTGGCTTGAGCATGTCCTGCAGGCAGAGTTCTGCCGAGTTCCCAAAAGGCCAGGGGCGCAAGGGCATAACACCAAGGAAAGCAGTCCGAATGGGGAGCAACATGGAGACGTGATCCACACGAGGGGTTAGCAGGGTGGCTGGGAGTGCAGGGCTTGGTGTGCTTGACTGCTTCTGACAGTGTGGCCCTGGCCAAGTAATCCAAGCCTCCATTTTCTCACCTGTGAATGGGGCAAACTTGTGGGGTGTCCTCTGAGAATCCAGTGAGGTGATACACAGAATTCCTTAACTTTCTACCTAGACTTATGTGATTGTTTTTTAAATAATGCTAGTTCTTCTGTTAGGAGAAAAAGGGAAGAAACTGGGATTGCTTAACCTGGAGAAGATTACTGAAAGACACAATGGCTATTCTCAGATACTCAAAAGGACTGTGATGTGGCAGAGGGAACAAACTTCTTAGTGTTAAGACCATCTGACTTGAAACATTTGAAATACAGCTGATGCCCAGAGACAGATTTCACATCAGTAAAAAAATGTTTGTGGCAGCAATTCTAAAGAACAGCTGGGCTATTTTATAAGGTTCAGGGCTCCCTGTCACTGGACTTTTTGCTGCTGGGTGCTGAGTGGCTGCAGCACTTGGAGGTCAAAGGGGAACCTCTGTTCCAGGCAGGAGGCTGGCTGGGCTGGTGTCTCTCTTCTCTCTCAGCTCTGTAATCCCAGGAAATGCAGCAAAAGGGCTCAGCCTTCGGACTCCTGAGAAAACTCATGAAACTGGCAACTACACAGAATAAGAATGGAAAAAATAGATTTTTCTGAGGGACCCCTCGGGTACAAAGTACCAACTGTACTTGCTTAGAGAAGAGGACTCTCAGCAATTTCCTCGTTGTATGAGTTTGCTAAGGCTGCTGTAACAAAGAGCCCTAAAGACTGCACAGGGCATGGTGTGTATTCCTGGAATAATCCCAGTGCTCTGAGAGGCTAAGGGAGCAAGTTTGAGCCTACCGGGGAAGTTTAGTGACTTAGTGAGAACCTGCCTTAAAGTACAGAATAAAAGGTGGGCTGGGGATGGGGCGCACTGCAGAGACCCTGGGTTCAACCCCCAGTTCCACGACTAGATGGCTTAAACACCAGGAATGTATTGTCCCAAATTCTCGAGGCTGGACCCTCAAGGCAGGTGTTCGAGGGCCCTCCTGAGGCTAATCTTCCTGTAGACGGCCGCCTTCTCCCTGTCTTCACATCTCTTCCTACAAGAACATCAGTCATCAGATAAAGGCCCTCTTTCAGGGCCTTATAAACCCTGGGCACCACCTCTTTCCACATTGTCCCTCAGTGTCTGCCGGGCGTTGGTTGCAGGATCCACTCAGATATAAGTCCCTGATAGCAAATGTGGCTATTACATTTGCATGTAACCAGTGGACTTTAGATGGTGTGTGATACCCATTACAGAGTAAACTATGTGAATAGTTATTATACTGTACTTGTAGTTAATACAGTAATATTTTTGATGCTCAACTGCTTTGAAACTCATTGAATTTGTTAATCAGCGATTTTGACATGAAAATTTTGTTTCGGTACTGATACTGATACTGGTACTGCTCCTTTGGTACAGCAAGTGCAGGCTAAGACTTGTCCATGTTGAATGTCTTATGATTCCCCACCCTTTCAAGACAAAAATTTGTTACTCCTCATTTCTGGTACACACTGAGCCTCCTGGAACCAATTAATGAGAACCAAGCTGGCAGGAAGTGAATACAGACTCAGTAGAGATGGGTCTCCTTTCTAATGCGTTCCATCCATGGTTGGTTGGACCCATGGACAGGGAGTCCGACTGTCCAAGTCCGAGGTGTTGGGGCTTAGAGATGGGGGAACAGTCCAGCCTGTAATGCTCCTGGTGGGGGTCTCATCCTTTGAGTCCCTGGGACTGCCACCTAGGGCTGGCCACCAGACCTGCTTGACATGTCCCTTAAACAGTGTCCTCTCTTGATTCCCATAGGTGAACGGCCCTTTCCCTGCACGTGGCCAGACTGCCTTAAAAAGTTCTCCCGCTCGGACGAGCTGACCCGCCACTACCGGACCCACACTGGGGAAAAGCAGTTCCGCTGTCCACTCTGTGAGAAGCGCTTCATGAGGAGCGACCACCTCACAAAGCACGCCCGGCGTCACACCGAGTTCCACCCCAGCATGATCAAGCGGTCGAAAAAGGCACTGGCCAACCCATTGTGAGGTGCTACCCACGGCAGCCAGGGAGGGATGGACCCCGAAGGACAAAATTACTCCCAGGAGACAGGTGGACACATGGAAACCACGCCCCAGAAGAGGCATGCGGACTGCAGGAGGTCACTGCTCTAGTCAATGTTGTGATTTCTCCTCTCCCTGCGTTGTTTTTTAAAAAGCACACAGTAGCCTAAGATCAAAGCCAACACTTGGTCCCCTTGCAGAGGCAACTCGCAGAACCGTCTCTGACTGCCGGAGGGAAGGCGAATGCTTTTGGTTGTTTTCTCCTTTATTTTCCCGGGGGGTGGGGGAAGGCCAAGGCCAAGACTGGGGTAGGATTTCCGATCCACACTGGTGTACATACGTCCGACCGGGTGAGCCGACTTGTGGCCTCACACGGTGATCCTGGGCCTTTATGCTTGCTGTCTCAGAATTGTTTTCTTACTTTTTAATGTAATGACGAGTGTGCTTCGGTTTGTTCATTAGCAAAACCACTCTCTTGAATCACGTTAACTTTTGAGATTAAAAAGAAAAACTCCATAGCACAGCTGTCTTTATGCAAGCAAGAGCACATCTACTGCAGCATGATCTGTCACCTAAAGACTTGAACACACAACGTTACTTATAGTCAGTGGGGAAGCAGAGTCCGAATTTATACTAATCAAGACGAACTGGGAAAGGTTACACAGAGCGTGGAACTTGTCAACCTTGCGTTGTATGGATTGTACTTTTTGAACACAAGCTGCACTTTTATTTTCTAATGCAGAGGATGAATAAGTTAAATACATGCTTTGAAGATAGAAGCAGACATTCTGTTTGCACCACGTTATAATCTATTTTACAGTATATAGCTTTCCCTAGAAAATCACGGTGGGATGGGAGGGGAAAAGAGGCACAGCGCATGCTGAAGGAGGAGGAGGGTAGTGCTTTAAAAATCACAAAACAAGAACAAACAGAATTTTAACTCTATTAACTTGTCCAAATTTTCCTGTCCTTTCAGGTAGCGTTGTCTTATACCATAATGCCACGAAGAGAGGGGACTTTTGACTCAGTCCAGTGTTATTGGAATGGGTGCGTAAGAGTCACTAGGTCTTGAAATGCCTCTTGTTTAGGGGGAAATGGTTTGTTGATATCCTTCCCGTGTTCCTACAAATCTTCCACTGTCAGGTGCAAGAGTTCTATAAAAGGAAAGGGAGCTGAAATATGAAAAGAAAAATATCCCCATAGGTAGTGAAATGTCAAGGGAAAATATCACGAGGATTTCAGAGGAGACTCTGCAAAATCAAGCCAATGAAATACTTATGAATGAAATCACATCACTGTACCATTTACATAGGTAGCCTCACCACTATGTATCTCGTATCTAGGTGTCTACAAGGCCTAAACCACTACATCCGTACTATGCCATTTACTGAAAACTTAATTTTGGCCTTTACATAGCCAGAAAAATGAACTTGAGTTTTCAAGTTAAAAACAAAAAAACAAACCTCAAATGAGAGGAGTCAGAAGTGACCATGGGAGGAAATGTTTACATTTTTTTTTGTCTTCAGAAGTAACATTTTTCAGGCAGTCTTCTCTGATATTTAAATAGAGAGCTCCGGTGCACTCTGGTTTGTCCTTGTGCTATAAAAACATACAGATGTGTAAACGCAGGGTGCCCACCTGGTTGTGAGGTCATCATTTCACCCGACACATCTTGTTCCCAGTTTGGAAGGTGGGGGCTCCTGCAGGAGGCCCAGGTCACGGCTGACTCCGACTTCCAGTACAATAGCCATCACTAGCACGGTGTTTTTTTGTTTAACCAATGTAGTTGTATCAGTAGTTCTGTGGGGAGAACTACTTTTAACCTTAGGGACTGGGGGCAGTCCATGGGCTAAAAAGGGGAGTGTTTTCTCACGAGAAAACATGTCAGGAAAAATAAAGAACACTTTCTACCTCTGTTTCAGATTTTTGAAACGCTTATTTTAAACCAAATTTTCATTTCTGTGTCCAAAATAAGTTTCAAGGACATCTGTTCTTCCATACGAAATAGGTTAGGCTGCCTATTTCTTACCGAGCTCACGGAAAGGCTCTGCTTAGGGTACTCTGCACGCTGCCTTTTAGTGAGCGAGAGTTTGGGGTTGCTTAGCAACTTGCTGACTTGTAAAACTCAGCTTTCCCTCACAGAAAGAGATGCAGGAAAACAAAGTCAAGTTGGTGAAAGACAATCTTGATAGTCGCAAGAGTAAATCTACATGTGGCTTTTGTCAAGCACTTAGATGGGTACAAATGCAGCAACTTGTTTTAAGAAATGCACAATTTACTTCCCAAAAAAGTTGGTAATTGCCTTTTCAAGTTGTTGACAGACATATTTGATATCCTCTTAGGTGTTACAGTAACGTAACATAAAATCAAAGCTTTTTACTCTTTGTGATAAATCCTGTTTTACAGTGTCACAAAACAGGAACCAGCATTCGAATTAGATTTACTACGTCAAGGTATGATTCAAATAGTACTACTAGAGTTCGCTGAACACTAAAACTATGAAACAATTACTTTTTATATTAAAAAGACCATGGATTTAACTTATGAAAATCCAGATGCAGGATAGTAATTTTTGTTTACTTTTTTAACCAAACTGAATTTTTTGAAAGACTATTGCAGGTGTTTAAAAAGAAAGAAAAGCTGTTTTATCTAATACTGTAAGTAGTTGTCATATTCTGGAAAATTTAATAGTTTTAGAGTTAAGATATCTCCTCTCCTTGTTAGGGAAGAAGAAAGCCCTTCACCATTGTGGAATGATACCCCGGCTTTAAGCTCACATCATGCTTCTTTTGAAAATTATATTTGGTAGCTCTAATCACAGAAACCAATTAGTTTGTCAGTTTGCGGTTAGAGGTAGCATAGCACTCATCACTCGGTAGATCGGGAGGTCCTTTTGCAGCGGATGAACGGTCTGTAACACTGTAAGACACTGATCTTTACAACGGTTGAATCAGTTTTATTTTTGTACAGTATTAGTGACCTAAGTTATTTTGCTGTCCTGTTTTTGTAAATCAAATTATAAAAGAGGATTCTGACAGTAGGTATTTTGTACATATGTATATATGTTGTCCAAATAAAAATAATAAATGATAAAGATTGAGTTGTCATTATGTGTAGCAGAAGAGAGGATTTCACCATAATGGAAACTGCCTCGTTAACTTGTGCTCACAGGACCTTTTAATGAGCGCAAAAGTGGTGTATGCTATACCTTCCAACACATTGGTGTTCGTTCAGACTGTGTATTTACTCTCCACAGACCTCTGAGGGCACGCATGGGGTGGGAGGCCACTTGCCTACAGTATCACACTGGAGCAGAACAATTGTGTTTTGAACTAAATCTCTTAACAAGGCTTTGAAAGCTCGTCACAGTGTGGAGGGTATTAGGAACTGGCTAGAGAACATCAAAGATGAATTGAACTTTTGACAGATAATACACAAGTTGAGGTTTCCAAGGAAGGGCCATAAAAACATAAACCAAGCAAAGATGAGCACTGAATACAGGTGCATGTACATATAAATTATGTAATTATACTAGCTATTATTTAGTGAGTTTTGTAGTGCTGGGGAATGAACCAACAGGTACTATACCACTCAGCTGTATCTCTCACCCTTTTAAAAACTTCTATTTTGAGACAGCATCTCAGTAGGTTGCACTGATTGACCTCAAACTTGCCATCCTCCTGCCTCAGCCTTTCAGGTAGCTGGGATTACAGGAGGGCACCACCACCTCCAGTTTGAGTTCTGATTGTATACACGGCATGGTGTCAAGCATTTAGATTTGTCGTTCAGTCCTTGGGGCAACTCTGAATGGTAACTATTGTTACTACCCTTTTATTTCAGATGAAGAAACTAAGAATTGATAATGTGCTGAGAGAAACCAGTAATAAGCATCATTGCTAGTATGGCTTGAGTATTCCTTATTCAAACTGCTCAGGACTAGAAGCAAGTTTTGGATTTTATTGAATATTTGGCAATACAAATTAAATACCTTGGGGATGGCACCCAAGCGTAAATACAAGTTCATTTGTGTTTCGTATACGTCTTATGCCTGAAATCAACTCGAGACAGTATTTTTAATGTACCTGCATTTTGACTGTACCCTGACATGAATTCAGATGTAGGATTTTCCTCTTGGGACATCACATTGGTACTCAGAAAGTTTCACATTTGGGAGCAAAATTCCGGGTTCTCAGAGATGTTCAACTAGTATTTTAATACAGATCTGCTGAATCCAGCCCTCTGCCTGTGTACCTGGTCAGCAGGGGCTTTCTGGAAGTGAATTCATCAGACCCATTTTATTAAGCAGTACCGATACTGGCAGGCACTGTTGTTACTGTGAATATGAAGATAAAGTAAGAGGTTGCCTGTGATCAAGGAGTTCATGTGTTAATGGAGGGAACACATACTAAACAAATTATCCACATACTCCTGGACAGTGGTAAGCGCAATTGTGACAATAAAACAGTGGTGTGACAGGAGCTTGGGTGTGGGGAGAAGTCTCTTTATAAAAAGTGCTCACTGCAGTTCTGCCCACAGAGACTTCGACTTTCCATCTCGGACTTGGATGACAAGAAGGAGCCAGCCCTGCAAAGATACAGAGATATGCGGGTGCGAGGGCAAGGCCGTGGTAAAGAGTGTGGTCAGCATTTTAGAGGAAGTGAAAGAAGGCTGGGGTGGCTGGAAAACGGAGGGCAAGAGGAGGACAGCAAAGTTGGGAGCGATTGTCAGGGGCTGCGTCACAAGAGCTATAAACTGCAGGTGCTTGGGAGGGACCTGCCGGATGTGATGCTTACATCAGCAAGCTCTTTCTGGGTACTACATGGAAAGTGGATTTCAGAGGGGCAAGAGTGGAAACTGCCGGAGAGGGGTGGTATATGCCTGCTGAGATCAGTGTAGGCTAGAAAGTGAGACCCTGTCAAAAACAAAATGAAAGTGAACTCTGGGAAATTAGTGAGGAAACTGATGTATCTGTCCAGGTAAGAGATGGTAGTCATCCATTCCAAGTGGTTAGCAGTGGGAGAGGAAACACGTGAACGGTCTAGGAAATATACCAAAGGTAGAAACATTTGGAAACTAGCAATTACGATAAGAGTGGTAAAGAACCAGAAAGTCCTGTAATGACTCAGATTTATGACCTGAACAATTAGTAGATGTTCCTGCACTTTGAAGAGATGGAGGGAAGGGAAAGGAGAGGTTTGGTAGGAGGAAAAGGTCATGGGTTCATCTTTGGACACGTTGAAGTGAATGAGTCCATTAGACATCCCACAGAAATGTCTAGAGAACAACTATACACATTAGTTCAGAGCTCAAAAGAGTCTGGACTAGGGACTTGGAAATCAGTCATACGTAATAGTAATCAAAAGCAAAGAAGCAACCTGCTCTGGCCTTGCTAAGCGCCTTCTCTCACCAGGAAGGCACACCGCAGCTGTCCCTCCTGGAGGAGGGAGGTGGGCTGAGCTGAGGGAATCTGCTCCAGCTTGCCTGCAACCTTCTTTTGGCCTGGAGAGCACCAGCACTACTGCCACCACCTGGAGGAGGGAGCAGTCCTGCTGAGGAGGTTTGAGGCCTATCTAGGCCATAGAGGTGACCTTCTATCAGCCTGGGGAGCTTTGCCATCCAAGGAGGTGGATGGTTACACAACATTAAATACCTGGGAGAGTATGAGATCCTTGCTGTAGGGGTTGGGGGCCTGCTGGGATTGTGGCCACACTAGATTGGGCTTAGCAGGATTTGGACCTGCCTGGACCACACTGGGTAGCCTGCTTTCCATCAGGGGAACTTTGCTGCCAGAGGGGGAAGCTGTGCAGCTTGAGGAGGCTTTAGACCTACCTGAGAAGAGCACGGTAACCTTCTTTTAATCTGGGGGCCTCGCTGCCCAAGGAGGGAGCTGTGCTACCAGAGGAGTCCCAGGAGCCCAGGACATAGGAGACAATTTCCAACACGCCCAAGGGGAAGCTTTGGAACAACACTTGAAACACAGAAATACAGGAAAATAACAAATGAGACACCAAAATGCAATCTCAAGATCTTGCAATCCCAAGAAAGCCTAGGAGCCATGTGCATAGAAGAAAATACATGCCATATGCCTGAAATAACTGAAATAAAGAAGCAACTCTGCGAAGCTTTAAAGGAATTCAAACTAGAAATAATCTCCCAGGTTAAAGAAGAAATGATGAAAGAAATGAAGGAGATGTTGAACATATCTAAAGAAGACACAGTTAAAAAATTGGAGGAACTAAACAAAAAGATAGAATCCCTCGATGAACAATATAAGAAACAAACAGAATGCATAAAGCAGAAGCAAAGAGATACACAGGAAATCAAAACTCTCATTGAAAGTTGTAAAAGTCACCTCAATGAAAGTGAAGATAGAATTTCAGACTGCGAAGACAAGATTGCAGCTAGTGAACAGGAAAAGAAAGATCTTTTAAAAATAACAAAGAATCAGGAAATAACAACTCAACAGCTGCAAGATGATGCAAATAAAAGCAACATAAGATTGATAGGGATCAATGAAAAAGAAGGAGACAACATAAAGGATGCCAAGAGGATATTTAGAGAAGTCATAGCTGAAAATTTCCCAAACATGAGATTGGAAATTGATATCAAGATCAGTGAAGCATACAGAAATCCAAATACCCATAACCAAAATAAAACTACACCCAGACATATAATAACCACCATCCCAGAAATCCAACAAAAGAATATTAAAAGCTGTCAGAAAAGACAGATCATTTATAAAGGAAAACCTATCAGAATCAGCGCAGACTTCTCAGCACAAACAATAAAGTCAAGAAGAGCATGGAGTGAAGTATTCCAGATCCTAAAGGAAAATGATTTCCAACCTAGAATGATGTACCCTGAAAAACTGTCCTTCAAAATGGTTGGAAAAATAAGATACTTTCATGACAAAGAACAGCTGAAGAATTCATGATCATCTTGCAAAGAATACTGAAAGACAGTTTAGATACACTTAGGAAAAAAACCCACGAAACAAAGCAGATAATTAAACAGAACAGAGAGATAAAGATGCAACAGCAGAAAGATAACATGTCAATAATAAATCAACATATAACAGTTATAACCATTAATGTAAATGGTCTCAATGCACCAATTAAAAGAAACAGACTGGCAGAATGGATCAAGAAACAAAATCCAACCATATGCTATCTACAAGAAACCCGTCTAACCCAGAAGGATACTCACAGAGTCAAAGTCAAAGGATGGAAAACAATACTTCATGCAAAGGAACCCCCCCCCCCCAAAAAAAGCAGGAGTAGCTATTCTATTTGCCAACAATGTGAACTTCAAACCAATAACAATCAGAAGAGATAAAGAAGGTCACTACATACTGGTTAGGGGAAAACTTCAAGAGGAAGAGATAACTACCTTAAATATATATACACCAAATTTCAGAGGACCCAGTTACATAAAATTAGAATTAACAAAAATGGAAAACGAAATTAGCACTAACACAATTCTAACAGGAGATCTTAACACAACATTGAAACCAAGGGAAAGGTCAACCAGACAGAAAATCAGTAAGAAATAACAGAGCTGAATCACACCTGTGAACAAAATACATTTGCAGAGTGTTCCATCCAACAGCGTCAGAATACACATTCTTCTCAGCAGTACATGGGTCATTCTCTAAAATTGACCATTTTTAGCTCTCAGAACATATTTAAATAAATGCAAAACAGTTGAAATTATCCCACGCACGTCATTGGATCATAGCACTATGAAATTAGAAATTAATGATAAAAGATACTGCAAAAATCCCACAAACACTTGGAAGCTGAATAACATACTCTTGAGTAATCAGTGGGTCACAGAGGAAATTCAAGAAGAAATTAAACAATATATAAAACAAATGAAAACACAAATACAACTTACCAGAATCTGTGGGATGCAATGAAAGCTTCAGAGGAAAATTTATTGCACTGAGTTCCCACACCAGGAAAACAGAACGAGTACAAATGAATTACCTGATGCTACACCTCAAACATCTAGAAAAAGAAGAGCAAGATAAGCCCACAGCCAAAAGAAGAGAAGAAATTATAAAAATCAGAGCAGAAATTAATGCAATAGAGA